TCACATAAAGCTTATCTCATTGTGAATTCAATGATTAGTAATGGTAGTGATTAGTAAATCGAGAAAAATAAAAATTCTGCATGAACCAGTTAATAATTCTTCTTTAATCACATTAATTATGATTATTTTATTGAATTAGCGATTTATTAAAAAAAGGTATTTTATATCAAAAAGATTTAAATTTAAATTCGATTTTAATTTAAAAGTTCCAAGACTATTTTCGATTGAAAAATATTCTTCGATAATCGCTATAATTTTTTTTCATCTATTAACGATATTCATTTTCGACATTTTTGAACCGACTAGCTCAAACCGCTAAAGTAAAGCGCTTTTGGCCAAAAAGTTAGTTACTCAGAAGAAAATAAGTATAAATGGATTCGCAACACTACAAATTTTAACTTTTAACAATATGATGTGAATTGTTGAATTTAGTTAGTTTCCCACTCGTCTGCCTCATTATTCCTATATTCCTATATAGCGACAATTTTCAAACCGAAGCGCAAATTATAGCTTTTTATTGCAAAAATTTACTATTTTCATTTTCTATTAAGGATTATGTTCTATAAATATTTTCTATTCATTTTTGAATTTTCGCTTTTTTGATGTTTTAACGGCGAACTTTGCTTTAGCATTCCGAGCATTTGCCTTTGAAAACTTCGAGCATTCAGTACGAAATGAAAAAATTACCTTCGAACAGATTGCTAATCTCTTATTTCATTGCAAAAAAGCCAAATAAAAAAAATAATTAATTTACTATTCATCTCTTGTCAAACGCAAATAAAGAAGAAATAAATTCGAATAATTTTTTGCTGAAAGATTTTTTTCGGCGAAAAAATTCTTGGAGATTTCGGTTTCCAGAAACTAACGAGTTTTTCCCCAAGAATGAATATGCCAATTATTGGCATTGACTCCGATGGATTTCTTTTAAAATTTTGAACTTCGTTTCGAAATTCAATTAGCAAAGTTATCGCATTTTTGTCTCGAAAATCTCGAAAAATATATTGATTACCAGACGAGTCTAAATATACGTTTTTCTCGAATGAATTTTGTGAATTCACCTAAAATACATTTCCAAAATTTTTATCTTTCGAATGCCAGTTGTACCGATTGTTAATCACCAAGTGAGGGTGTCTGAAGTGAGTCCGTAGGAATCACTTGGAAAAACGAGCCTAAGTGGAAGCACCTATACAATATTTCATTATTAATGGTATGTTTACCTCCAAGAAAATCAGTCAAGCCCTTGCTAGTCGACCTCTGTGATATTCGGCTCAACCATTGCCTTCTCGAATTTTATTTCTCTCACTCCATAAAATTTTCATTTCGATCAGATCAGAATTATCAAAAAATTCGTAAAAATTCTTAAGTTGGAAAATGTGGCGTAATAATTGGCTAATTGGCTGTCTATTAGTGATTTTGCTTCTCCTTCTTTATCAAATTACTTCCATCGAGAGCAATCGAATTAGTTAATATTTATTTATGAATTTGGTTAACTGGTCAACTGGGTAACCTCGAGCTCGTACTTGCATCAGTTGCTTGTTTATTCTACAAAATTTTATTACTAATGCAATACAGTTTTGCCTACAACATGTTTCTTCGGAGCAATCATTTCACTATCTATTTATCTCATATTAAATGAAATATATTTATCTTCTTTATATGGCAACTAACAATTAGAAATTAGAATGCAATAGAATGTTGTAATATTATCAGTTTGATAATCAAAAGTCGAAGTACAGCTGTTAAAAATTATGATTTTTGATGATAATTCTTCTAAGAGCAATGAATATTTCATTTATGTTAATGGAATAGCTTTTTTTTTTGCAATTTTCGATAGAAACAAATGAAACAATTGTCTGCTTCATTTTTTCAAGGTATTATGCTTATTTGGTATTAAATGCGAGGGAATGGGGCGAAGATGGTCGAGTGGTATGTCTCCTAAGGTTAAACGAGGTTCGATTCTTGTCTCTTGAGAATAAAGTTGTCATTAAAGATGGGATAGTGATCGTGAAGATCAGAGATTTTATCCTTTATGACGAAGGATTTTCGTCCTAATAACCGATGGAACTAGCAAAATCGATAATGTTGAAATAGAGATAAAAAAAAACAGCAATTTCCAGTGACTATTTTTATTGCTTATTTGTTTAAAATTGCTTAATTTAATATTTTAGAAAAATGAAGCAGTTTTATGTAACTCAATCGCTTTATCACATTTGTTTTAAATATCCTTTAAAAAAAATGAAAACTTTTAATATATACTTTTCATCAGTATTCACTTAATGAGGAATAACAATGTAGCTAAGAGTGAATGTGAATCGCATAAATTTTATCCTTGTTTCAAAAATTAATGAAAATCATTCCAAATATTATGGTCCTATTTATATTCCCGACAAAGTAGGTCGTGCTTGGAACCCACCTATACCCTTCTCCCTCCACTCCAGGTTGTGCTAATTATTTCTAAATAGTAACAAAAAGTCGGTGTGTGGATAACATACTTATTCACATACTTACACATACTTTTTCACATACTTTTTTTCTTAGTAAAAAAATAGCGTTATTTCCGTAATTTGCATAATTAAAGACTCATTATATTTGAATTAACACACCGTTAATTGAACGTCAAATATAGAGTATAACTAAGAAATTTTAGTGATAGGTTTTAGACAAAAACATTAGGAAAAATAATTTAACGGACAAAGAATATCCATTTTTTTTTCTTATTATAATAAATAGTCACATGAAAATTATGAAAATTATGCTTTATTATTTTTGCGGATTATAAAGGAAAAATAATATTATTTTAACTGACAAATATATAAAGTTTGTGAAAATATGAAATCGAAATTGAAATAGAAAATTCTTAGAGCTTGATGCCAGCAATTTGATTACTAGCAGGCAGTTGGCTAATGCAATCAATCGAAAGGGAGGAAGGCATCTGACGTTGGCTATTGCTTGCTAGTGCTTTCTCATTATTCCTCTTATTCGTTAAGAAATAATCTCAAACCAATACTGACTGAGAAATAAGCAACTTTTTCCATTTGAAATTCGTTAAAATTTTCTTTTTTTATGTTTCATTAGTGGCGATAAGATTTTTTTTTATTTATTTAAAATATATTTTCATACAAAATTATACTGATAAGAGTGATAATCGAGTTGATAATGGTTTAGATTATCATAATTTTCAACAGGTGATGTGCAAACCTATCATCGAAAAATTAATATGTTATTAGCGATTCATCTTATTTTTGTTGCCAAGTGTTTCCACAAGCAGCCAATGGAACGAGTTCAAATTTCTCTAGAAATTTGGATTTTTTTATATTTGCGAGGAATAGAATAGCTTAGTGGATTGTGGATTGTTGCCCAGTTCGGAGCGAAGATGCTAAAGCTTCACTTCCGGCAGGAATAAACCTGTCTAAAAATCTGGATGATTTCGGCCACTCACCTTTATTTCTATCACCAAAAGACTCCTTGATATATTAATTTAGTGCGACAAGCCAGCTGAGCTATCAGTAATGGTAAATTTAACCAGTAATGGTGAGGTCTTTTAAAAAAAAAAATAAGTATTTGGTGAATTATAAAACTATAAACCAAACTCTGTAAAAAGATAAAAAGTTTCAAAAAGATGAAACCGTTGAAATTCCTCTCGACATGCGTGAAATATAAATTCTCTTTAAATTATCTCTTTAAATATTCAGTTCGCCAACTTTCTTCGGCACTTCTTACTTATGGCTTTGCGGTCTGCAGATTGGTTTTCTCTATGGTCAGTTAGGTGAATTGTATCACCGCACTATTTTATTTGCCTCCAGCAAGATTTAGAAATCTAACCAATCTATGATACTTTACCTGTGTTATATTATAATATTCTTATTTATTTTCATTTTCATAGCCATTTTTTCATTTATCATGTTTTATAGAAAATAACAAAAGATGTAAGAAATGTGATCATTAGCAATATGAAAGTTTAAAAAGTCTTCTTTTTAATTTGTAATGATTTATTAATGGGTTTCGCTAAACCATTGTATTATGTGCGATTGAATAAAGCTTAGATTTCGTTAAATATTCGTTTTCATTGTTCTTATTGTTGTGTTATGTGCAAATGGCTAATATTCACCACAATGTTTCGCTAATTATTAGCAATTTTGCTAGAGAACCACTTTGAGGGGAAAAAAGCTGCACCATATAACAGCACCATTTGGATTCTATCGTCAACGAAAATTGAACCAATATACTCGAAGAAACGAAGAAATCTATGCAAAATCCACTCGATTATTCAGCTACCCATTATATACCATTAAAATTATGCCTTTAAGATGTGTTTTTATTGCGATAGTAATTTTAAATTTTATAAGTTAGACTAATAGATGGCATTTCCATTTCGTCGACAATTGAATTTTGATTAGATAAATTTTATTTGTGTGAAAAGATTTCTTCGATAAAGTAATTTGAAGTATTTTAAATATAGTTTTTGATAATTTCTGTAATCTAATTTGGTAATTGTATTTTGATAAGAAAGAAAAAAGACTGAAAAATCTGGTAGATTCGCCATTTATTTTGGTCGTTTTATTTTTTTAATAAAAGTATTTAGAAATCAATGAATTCGTCATTTTTTTATCACCAAAAATGATTAGTATTTATTATTGTTGTTGATAAAAAGGTGATAAGGTGATTGAAAAGAAAACAATAAATTCGCCATTTTTTTATTACTAAAAATATTTAAAATATTTTCATTTTTTTGCAATAAAATATGGATAAATTAATTTCACTCGTAATAGCCTTCCTTTTTACTTGGAAAAGTGCAATAAATATTTGTAATAACATTATTTTTCCTGTGAAAAAAAGAAATGATAATTTATTAATATATCATTTTCGTATTTAAAGAAAAAATATTTATGAGAAATTTTCAGCTAAAAATTGCCATCGAAGAACAATTAGATTTTCTATTGATTAATTGAAAAAAGCTTCTTTTTTTTATGGATAAATCATATTGTTAGCCGAGCGGGTAAATGTCGACGAAGGATGCCCGCTCGGACCCGCAATGGGTTACTCCATCTTCCAATCAAGTACGATCGTCAAATATTATTATTTGTTTGTAATTATGAAAATTATTTTAAAAAATTAAAAACCAAAAAATTTTCTTTTCTTGAACTCATTGTTAATTATTCATTGATAATCTTAAGAAAATTAAAAAACTATAGGCAATTTTTTAATCTTTTAAAGCTATCTGATATTTGATAAAAATAGCAATAATAATAAATAATTGAAGTTGGTCACCAAGAAGGATTATATTTTATTCGAAAAATAAGCACTAGTAAATGATAAATGATAGGAAGAAAAAAAAGCACATAACGACCAAATATAAATAACTTTTAATTAACTCATATGCCAGGCTTATAGACTAATAATCATTTTTATTATATTTTCCTAAAATTAATCGAAGAAATTGGATTCGACCGTTCTATTTCTCATAGTTTTTTTTTTTAAAGGATGTTCCTCCAGATTACGAAACAATAGGAACGATATTTGGCTATGCACTTTTAGCTTTATCATGGCTGCTTATCATCCTTACTTTTCCATTTTCAATGTGTGTTTGTTTAAAGGTAATTTCTTATTCAAAAAATATTTTTGCAAATTATACATATATATATATATATATATTAGTAAGAATTAAGCTTTTGTTGACAACATTGTGACTTATCGTGAAAAAAATTCGAAATTTTCAAAATCCTCAATAGGCTTCGCTTAAAGTGATTTTTAGGGATTTTGGTTATTTTTAGGGCTTTTAGAAATCAACTGCCTATTGTTTTATTTATAACTATACTCATTGCAAATGAGCAAATTGATTATTGCTGGTATAATCGTAAGAATCCATATTATGCCTTCGAACTACATTGAAAAGAAGTGAATGAATATAGCCAGGAATTTTGGAGCCTAATCCTTTATTTAGCCACTTATTTGCTTCATTTACGATAAGATCGATTTTCGATGATTTATGAAGATTCCATAAGAATGGAAAAAAATTGCCTTGCAGCTGCGTTTTCGCGTTTTAAAGAAGAGTTTCGACTAGGAATTGTTTTTAAAATCGAAATGATAGCATTCCAGAGGGAATAAAATCAACTTTAGTTATATTAATTGCTTATCATCTAAATTTTTTTTTCATAGAATAAAGGCACCTGAAAATATTTTTTCTTATTGTTTAAAATTTTTTAAAATTTTTTATAGAATAATTAAGATGAAATGCGAGCATTAAGCGATTCAAAGCAATTCGTCTCGTACGATTCAAAAATAAATCTTTTTATAAGTAAAAAATGAAGAAATAAAGCTAATTAATCACTATGTATGATAATTCTATTTATTTTATGCATTTTAAGGCGAAATAAGTTAAAGAAAATGGTAATTAACAATATTGGAAGGAAGACACCGAAACGAAAGAAAACTATATTTGAGCATATATTTCGCTATTTTTAGGTGATCAAGGAATATGAACGAGTCGTTATATTTCGAATCGGGCGGTTAGTATTTGGTGGAGCACGAGGACCTGGAATGATTTTCGTCATTCCATGCATTGATACATATAGGAAAATCGATTTGAGGTTATCATTTCTATTTTTGTTTTATATTTTTATATTTATATTTATAAAAATTTAGACTTTAAATTGATATGATCAACATTTATAGATTAATCACTTCCAAAATCACATTTCCATGGAACAGGCGTAGATCTTTCTTTTTCTTTCTTCTGAGTATAACATTCACTATTCATGGATTTTGGAAGTGATTGGTTTGCAGAATAATGCCTCTTAGTCAGAGATTTAGGTTTTTTTGATAAAAGCAAGAAGAACAAAATAATCTCGCGCTCCACTTGGATTTTTTTATCAGTCAAGTTTATATAATCAAACTAATGGGGGATATGATGACTTGCTCAATTCCGAGGGTTGAGGGCTAAGGTTCTATTCCCCGCATAAGAAAAACCTCTCCAAAAGTCGAGTGATGTTAGCGATTCTTATTTCTATCGCCAAGGGACTCCCTACCATATTTGTCCAGTAGAATAAGCCAGCGGAGCGAGTTTAACCAGTAATGGAAAGTCTTATGAAAACTCTTTAAAAAAAAATATTTAAACAGGTACTTGATGAACGAATCACTCGCTAATAATGAAGTGAATATATTTCATTTCATAGCCGCTCATATCATTCATTCTTTAGGGTGGTATCTTATGCAGTGCCTCCGCAGGAAATTCTTTCAAAAGATTCTGTGACGGTATCAGTGGATGCTGTTGTATATTTTCGTACTTCCGATCCAATCGCCTCAGTTAATAACGTGGACGACGCAATTTATTCAACAAAACTTCTCGCTCAGACCACTCTTCGAAATGCACTTGGTTGGTTCTTTTTTTACTTGGTCCTTTACATTACGAGAATGTCTCCATTGACAGTTGACAATTACTATTTTATGAAAGCATTAATTAAATATAAATGAACTGAAATGAGCAAAATGGCTATTGATGCTCTCGATGCACTGAAACGGCTTGGTTATTTTTAATTAGATTCTAAGGATCCTTTTGCCATAAAGTTTTGCAGCTGGATACAGCTGGATCTGACAGGTAATTAATTGATTGTCCATATGTCAACATTTTCCGTATTTGGCTCTATTCTCATATATTCTAAGGTCGAAATTCGCGTTTTTCTTTTTTCTTTTTGATTGATATTGAGCTTTATCAATTATCAATGGATTATCAAATTGTTAATGAAAATTAACTAACTATTTCTATATTAATAAACAGGTATGAAAACATTAACTGAAATGTTAACTGAAAGAGAAGCAATTGCACAGTTATGTGAAACAATTCTCGATGAAGGAACTGAACATTGGGGAGTTAAGGTAAATATTATAATCGTTATAAAATTTATTTATATTGTTAATAATTATTACTGTTATTATTTAGGTGGAACGTGTCGAAGTCAAAGATATTCGTCTACCACAACAATTAACTCGTGCTATGGCAGCTGAAGCAGAAGCTGCTCGAGAAGCTCGAGCTAAAGTTGTTGCTGCCGAAGGCGAACAAAAAGTAGAATTTCTTTTAATGAGAAATTGTTTAATATAATTTTCAACAATATATCACCGATTTTCAGACTAATTCAGACTTCGAAATATTTATTTTATTTTATTCATATTTTCATCAATTTTAATCCTAGGCTGCTTAATGAACAGAATCTATCAAATAAATCTGTCAACCGCAAATTTAATTACAATTTGCTAGAAATTCGAAAAATAAAACAAAATTTCTAAGTGATCTAAGTGAATTTAGCTCTAACTTTACTTTCTAGATAATAATTTAGGCTTCTCGAGCTTTAAAAGAAGCTGCAGATGTGATTCAGTCGAATCCAGTTGCTCTTCAACTTCGTCATCTACAAGCACTCAATAGTATTGCGTAAGGCGTTTTTAACCTAATTTTATTCACTTAATTTATATAACGATAAGGAAAATAAGACTTCAGCCTTGATGGTACTATCTTCAATGAACTGCCGTAAAATTCGACTTGCATTTATTGAGTTTTAACGATTGCAATGATTATTTCTATAGTTTTTACAGTTTTTAAAAAAAAAATTATTTATTTTCTTTTAAAAGATTTTATTGAATTTAATGGCATATTTTTTTGCCTAAACTTAGAAATCTTTTCTATACAATTTATTTACGTTTTCGCTTGCAGTGCTGAACATAATTCGACAATCGTTTTTCCAGTACCAGTAGAAATGTTTGGCGCTTTTATGAAAAAAGATAATTGAATGATATTTTTAAAGAAATGAGGAACTTGAAGAACAATTTAGTTCAGCTGAAATTGCGATGCGAATGGTACTACTTGGCGGTACTTTTATTGATTCCACTGGCATAATTAATTTAATATTTTCCATTTTAAATTAATGGATTCAAAATTAATTGGCAATAAAATTAATGAAAATTTTCGGATAAGAAATTCGCCGAAAAACTGAACCAACAATTTCTGAAAAACTATCGAAAACTATGAGGCCACAAAAAGCTTTCAATAATTTTTATTTATTTCCTAATTTTAGATTTAGATTACTTTTTATAATAGGTAAAAATGGTGGATTATCTGCCATTAATTCTTGTTTTACGCTTTAATTCATTAATTTTTTTTTTTTTTCATATCTTATAAATTATAATTTTCCACAAGAATTTTCGCGTAAATAAAGTCGCGTAAATCGGATCTTAATTTAGCATATAAAGAAAATTTATTTTCATCGCGCTTTCTATTTTAATTATAAATATTTAAATTTCTGCTATTAATTTCTCATTAATTGTTAAAATTTTATCTTAAAATTTTATCTTATTTTATTAGTTTATTAAAAGCTTATCAAATGATTTATTGAAATTTTTAAGTTTATTGCTGATCGTTTCATGGAATTTTTATGGTTTTAGAAAATTACTTAATTTTTATTTTTTAAATTTTCGCTTTTAATTTAGAGAATTTTCCGACAAATTATTGAGAAATATAATTAAGGAAGTCTTCTCTTTTCAAAGACCTCCTGATAAAGTCTCGTGAAACTTCAGAGGACTTCAAGGTTCAACTTTGAAAATCACTGAGTTTATAATAAAATAATGCCCAATGTTTTTTTGTCGTTCGTTCTATTCGTTTATCATGAAATAAACTCACTTTTAGGGATATATTTTATATAATTTAATTAATATTTATTAGAAAACAAATGCAGTTTGCTCTCCAGCAAAAATAACAATGCACGGATGATGAAAACACTGATAAAATATTGATAAAAACAATACCATAATAAGAAATTTATTAATATTTTGAAATAACTTTATTTTTAAGAAAACTTTTTACTTCTTTTGATCATTTACAAATATGAGTTATTTTATGAGTTATGAGTTAGTTATCAGATGAGTTATTTTTCTATTTAGACGCTAAAATCATTTAGTTTAATAAGCTGTATTTTTTAAGCTTAAATAGTTTTGTAATTTTTTAAATCGATATCTTCTGGTGATTAATAGGTGAGAGGTGCGGAAAGTTCTTGCTTAATAACCACTGGAACCAAAATGGTACGTATCTCAATATTTGCTTCACATCTCTATCGCTTTAATATTTATATTAAACATTTAAACTTCTAATATGAATTTTGTTTAGCACCTAAATTTATATGCATTTCATCGCGTTTACTGATAGAATAATGGAGAATATTTAAATTATTTATTTCGAAGAACATAAATAAAGCAAAAGCTATACGGTTATATGGTAGCAATAATATAATATTTAATCACAATATAATTATAATTATATAATATAATTTTACAATATAATATTAAAATGATTAAGAGAAAATAGAAAAATGAAATTACTATACGAACTATATGATACTAGAGAAAATGGATTGACGTGTTTATAGGAAAGTGTTGTGGATAATTCAATTCCAATTATTTTGATTATTAAGGAAGAAAATGCAGTACCGAGGAAAAGTTAGGTTTCAACAATTGATGCCAGGAAAGAAAAAGTTATGAGAAATGACCGAAAGGTCGCCATCTGTATCGCCAATCCATTCCCTTTAGTGTATATTAAATTTTACCAAAATAAAACAAAAATACTAAAATTTATTCTTTTGCTGAATTCAATATTTTACAAATTTTTTTTTTCAACATTGAATTCTGCGAAATTAATTATTTATAAATGTGCAAACAATTAAATTTCAATAAATTTGCATAAATTTTAATAAGTTTCATTTATTTTATTTGAAAAATTTGAATAATCATTCCTAATTGAGAAATATTATTTAAAATAATGAAATTCTAAATTGGCGATACAAATGGCGACTTTGAATCTAAACTCATATTCTTGTTTATCTTAAATTTTACAGCCATATTTAAGGTTTTTTGCGCGATGAAAGAAAAGATAATACACTACAATAATATAGAATAAAAGTAATAAAAAAATATTGTAGAAAATATATTATATTATATATTATATAAAATAATAAAAAAATATGTAATAAAAAAATAGGTGGAGAAAAATAGAAAAAATAATATAAAAGCAGGAAAAAAGAACAATGAAGATTAAATAAAACAACTAAAATTAAATATTACTAGATAAAATTAAATAAAAAATAAAAAATTTTACATCTTTGTTCTAGCTGATAAAAAAAAAAAAACAAGCAATAAAATGTAAAAGATTAAACTTTGGCTAAAATAAAACAAAGCCGGTGGAATTCAATATTTTTTTCAAATTTTTTTAATGAACATTTTTAATGAAATGAATTATTTATAAATATCCTAACAATTTGTGAAAAGATACTAAACGAGATAGTAATTTAATCATTCTCCTTCCTTCGCTAATATTTACTTTTGAATTAGAGAAATTATCGTAAATAAAAATCCCGCTAAATGAAATAGGAAAATTATGAAAAAGTACTTCAGAAACTCTCAAATTCACTGATAATTAATTAGTTTTTTAAAGAAAAAGGGAAGAAAATGTCATATCACTATGATTTCAAAATCATTTTTGCGCAAAAAATTTTAAGGATGATCATCTTTAATACCGATCTTGTCCATTAAACTAGGCTGAATATTATCTAATCTTCGTATGTTCTTCCATCGCTCACACAATTCAGAACGAAGTTGATCCATAGCACATGTTAGAGGAGACCACTTCCAACGGTATTCCGGTAGATCAGGGACGTGTTGTAGAAAAGTACAATCCTAAATAAATGCTGCCGAAAATTCAAATATATTAATGAAATTATCTCCTGGAAAAAATGCAAAGGAATTTATGCCAATAATGAATGAAACAAGCGCGGTTTACGGCCTTCAGAAAATGCACAAAAATAATCAAAAACTCTTGGGAGAAATATAAATTATAAACAATAAAAACGATTTTGGATTTATTATATATCTATTGATCATTATTTTTAATCATCTTTAATCTTTTAATCACAACGAACTTTTTCCTATTAAATTTTTATAGTCAAAGTTAAAGGAATTAAAGTATGGCTTAATATGGCTTAAGCTTAGTAAACCATTAATAAACTATATTCACTCACAGAAACCATAAATTAAACTTTAGAATTTAAAATCATCAGAATTCAAATTGAATATAATATTGGGAATTTTATTGTGCACTGCTTGACATAGATCTCGTTCTAAATTCCAAACAAAATGATTCGCGGAAACAAAATGATTCTTTAATTATATCAAATTTGATTACCATTACCATTTTTATTTAAATGGTTTAATTTAATGCTTAATTATCATTAATAAATTGAAATCAAAGATATTAGTTTCCATATTGGACTTTTCATACTGGACCAATATATATTGGATCATGCCAGTAATTACCTGACCATAGTCAGTATGGCCAATTATGGCCAATAATTCTCTATTAGGTAGCGGATAATTATTCATTTTCCACATAAGACAACATCTTTGATTGGCAAAATCATAGCTTATGAATCTCGAGAGGCATTCACTGTCCAGGGTCTTTAATTTAAAATAGTTATTATGAACAAATATTCAGTTTTAATCAAACTTTACATAATGCAATGGCAAAAAAAAATTCCAATGAATTTCAAAACAAAACAAAAACTATCAAATGCACCTCAAGTTTGTAGAATTTAGAATCAGATACTGCATGAACAAAGTGTTCGGCATCAAAAATATGAGGATCAGCAGCTGAAGCAAGTGGTACAAACCTAAATCAAATAACCATCAAACTTGTTGTACCATTAAATTAAATGCTGTAATAAAACAAGAATATTCTCCAAAACATTTCCATTCTTTAATAGGTAGCAAATATTATAATTAAATGAAAAATAAAAAGAAACGACGTACCAATTTAGTGCCACTGATTTTTCAGCATATATGTCTGTTAAAAGTCCTCGTATTTGAGCAAAATATTTTTTTCCATTTTCTTTGTCAATTGCCGAAATAATATCGCCAACTCGAAAAAGTATTCCTTTCTAAAACAAGAAAAATAATTTCCAATTTTCCCTTCCCTTCTAAATTCTGTAGAATTCAGAGAAAAATAAATTGAAAAAATTATAGTAGCTTAAATTGGTAGGGATAGACCTTTAAACGAAAAAAGTATATCACAGATAAAATATACCAAAAATATCGGATAAATCAATACGAAATAAAATTAAAAACTTATCTTACGCTGTTAAATAAGGATTCATGTGTCTTCATCGTCGCTCGAAGACTTGGTGCTTTTAAAGGAAGAGTGTTTTTGAATAGTGATGTTCTTCGACTAATATACTTATTAAAAACAGTATTCTCCAATGTTTTTCGAGTCCTCAAAAAAATTAACTACAATTTCTAAACGTAAAGAACCTTGACATCAATTGACATGATTAATTAAACACGAAATATTTTATAAAATATTAAAATATCTAAAATAAATGATCACGTAATTTTGTCACCAATATATAATGAAAAAAATTAAAAACTACTATAAAAAATTTTCGCTAACAGGAATATTTACCCAGTTAATGACTTATTGGACAAAGCAGCAGCACGAGCTGATGTTCTTCTAAGTACGATGCCTGATGAATGAGCCTAAAAGTAATGAAAGTCTTGGTTCATTAAATGATTAAATAAAAAGAAAATTCAAAAACAAAATAAAAATTATAATAAAATTTATATGTTATTTAATATACCATCAAAATTATAACTCATAAACAGGAAAAATGACCTTAACAGATTCCAGAAACATACTGGAGATCTCTATCCAGAATAATGCTTGGAACATCTAAGATTGCGTAGAAATTCCTTAATCTCCCAAACTTCTGGATAAACGATGCGAGGTTGAGGATGATTACCCATAGAGAGTGAGAAAAATAAATTTTAAAATGAAAAAATAAATAAGATATTAAAGAAGGAGGAGAAAATGAACATTTAAAATCGAAATTATTGGAAAAAATACTGGATTACTTTTATCCGTTGAGATGTTCGTTTCTTCGATGCAGAAGGGACTGCCGAACTGCCATTTAAATTCGACATTGGTAAAGTGCTTTAATTATTCCATTCTAAAATGAGGTATATATAAGGTATATATAAGGCTGGATTACATGTTAAAGAAATGAGATTCTATCACAGAGATTCTACTTTTTTTATGATCATTTTTTGAGTATACGGCTGAGCTTTTCAAATGCTGTCCATCGTCCTTCATAAAGCCTTCAACAAATGTATTCTTTAGTATGGAAAAAAGATGATTGGAGCAAAGCAATTTTGCTTCCAATTCTCAAGAAAGATGGTAGGACATACTATAATTAGCGATAATTATCGAGGAATCAACCTACTAGACGTCTTAGTAAAAATTATTGCTTTCCTTCTACTCAACAGACTTATGGAAGTACGGGACAGTAGGATGCGCCCCAATCAAACTGGTTTCAGACCAGGGCGTGGTTATGCTGACCAAATATTCACGTTAAGAAGGGTGTTGGAATATCGCTTCAAATATTTGCAACCCACTGTCACGTGTTTCATCGACTTTGCGGCTGCTTTTGACACAACGTATACTTTGGAGGATGATAGAACATGACGGTGTTCCAGAGAAAATCATTAGATTCATCACAAAGGCATTTTATGAGCGCAAATCGGCGCAGGTCTGTGTATATGGGGAGCTGATAGATTCCTTCGAAATAAGAACAGGTGTTCGTCAGGGCTACGTCTTTTCCCCCATAATATTCAACTATGCAATAGACTGGATAATGGACACTTCTTGTTGGCACTCAAGAGGTGTCCGAATTAGTCCAGAGCATCGTATCACAGATCTTGAATACGCTGATGATGTAGTCCTTTTTGCTGATAGTTATAACGAAATGCAAGAAATACTAAATAACGTGTCAGAAACTGCAGCAAGAATCGGACTCAGGATCAATGTACATAAAACGAAAGCCTTTTCGACTTATGTGCAAGAAGCTGATAAAATGCCTCTTTTTGTAAATTGATCCCGGTTGAGGAAGTGCCTGATTTCAAATACACTGGGTCCACTCTAATACCAAATAAACAGGCAAAAGATGATAAAGAAGATGATAGAATTCGTATCACGGCAGCTAGAAATTCTTCCGGTTAACGAAAGCTTTATGAAGTCGTCGTGAAACCACCATAAAAACGAAAGTGCGCATCTATATTGCAGTGATCCGTTTGATCTTATTATATGGTTCTGAGACATGGCCAAGGACAGTGGAGGATATTAAGAAGTTATCTGCCTTTGACCACTCTTGTCTAAGTTATATTTTACGGATTCGCCGAGTGGATAAAATCTCACAAGATCGCATCCTTCGTTCAAATACCACTTGCATTAATAATGTTATCATAGAGCGCTGGTTAGGGCACATTCTCCGTCGCCCACCACAGAAGTTGACACATATTTCGTTATTTGCTAAACCGTGTGACGGTTGGCGTCAAAAGCGAGGACCAACCAATCAAAACCTAGACGGTGAGAAAAGATTTTGAACGTATAGGTGGACCAGCAATATATGGACTTAGACGATGGAAAAAGGAATGGTTTCCATTACTGTCGACGATGGCATCAGACAGCGCCGCTTGGAAACCTCTTACTCTTGTAGTCGTTGAAGCCAGCCTAACCAGTAATGGTGAGAGCTGTTAGAAGAACAGCATACTGCTTCACTCCGAGAAAATACGAATCATTCAGCGTGCATTTTCCTTTGTCAATCACTTCAAAACAAAAAACTAAACTAATTGAACTAATCAAATTAATTAAATAATTAATTAAAATTACTTACCAAATTACTCAGAAATAATCGATAATCGGCAATCGATAGAAATCGACTAGACGATGAATCGAAGAAACTGAAAGAAATTATTATAACCGTTCAATCATTTATTTTACTTTTTTTCATTATTATTACTATTATTAAAATTATTATCGCTATTATAACTATTATTATTACTATACCTACTGTTATCATTGTTATCATTTTTTCATTATTATCACTATTATTATCGTTTCAATTATTATTACAATCATTACAATTATCATTATCACTACTATCACTACAATATTCAAACAAAACAAAACAAAAACCCACAAGGAATGTAAAAATGATAAACAAAAACCCACAAGGAATGTAAAAATTTAAAAGGTGAGACGAAGAATCCGAATATCCGAATATATAAACATTCGCTTCAGGACCAAAAAAATAATTTCGATTTCGTCTGATTGTTAGTATACCAAAATCTCAGCTTCGATTTTATTGTGTTCGAATTTTCAATATTTTTTGTCTCAAATAGTTTTTGAATAAAGTATTGCGGTGCACTGGTGTCTTTTTTTTCAGGTGTTAGGTTGCTTCTTCCCCAAGTTTTCCGAGAGTTTCGCCTCAGCTTGAGGCTCCAGCTTTCCCATTTTGTCTCAAATAGTTGTCCCATCCTCAGCTCGACCTCCAACTTTCTCATCCTTGGCTTGGAATAAAGGTTTAGGATTCGTGAAGTTTTTTGCATTCTGTGTGAATATAAATTTTATAGATATTTATTTAGTTATATAAAATTTATTTTATAAATTATTTATTTTATAAAAAATTATTTATTTATATAAAAATAATTGATTCTCTTGATTTCTGTGATATTAATTATAAAACTAATTAAAAATATTAAATATTTTTTATAAATATTTATTTTTTCTAAATATTTTTTCTTTTTTTTATATTTTTATATTTGCTTTCTGTTGTTTTCAGTTTTCACTGTAATTGTTTTTTTAATATATTCGCATTTCATTGATTTGTTTATTTGTCGCTTTATTTTCTTTGCTATTTACCTTGGATTTTAGGTTGATTTAAAGGAACACTTCGGTTAGTTGAATAACATTAGAAATCATTTCACCAATTTCTAATTTTTAAAATGTTTACAGTAATTCGGGAATGATTTTGGAACTAAGCGGAAATTTTTCGCTGTAACAATTTTTAAAAATTTTGGCATAAAAACGAAACGATGGTTGAAAAGGAAGAACAACAACATCCTTTGGTGAACGTTGAAGGAGTAGTCGTACAAGTGCAGAAAAAGGAACGAATCGCAATCGCTCATGCAATTCATTATGGACGTATTTTCATATCTGCGAGATTTTATAATGAAAATATCATCGAATTTGGCAAGTGGATTTCAATGCAGATCGATTCTGATCCATTTAATAAAGTTGGTTTTATTTTTTTTTCAGTTCAGTCTTTTTTCTCGTAAAAAATTTTACTGTGGGTTTCGTCAGTATTCATTCGCCATTGTAGTTTTCTAATGGAATGTTTCTCAATTTCTTTTTTTTGAAATTTTGAGCCACTGAATTCTTAAGCAATTTAGAAATAAAATCTTAATTTTTTTTATTTATTATTCCATTTTCATTTTGTTCCATTTTCTCCTTGGCCTAGTTTTTTTTCGTTTGAAACGTTTTGTTGGCCGACATTTGGAATAATATTATTTTTTTAAAGTATATTTTATCTAGCTGTATCATTATTAATAACTTTTCTTGATTGGAGGCTTTATTCGAAATAAATAAAAATTCTGTTTCAAAAAATCAAAAAACAACTTAGAAAGTTAGTTGAAAAATTTAGTGGAAATTTGTTTTAATACATACCAAATCAGATTCCTTGTTTAAATTTCAAAATGCTGGATATGCATAAATGTGATTGGCCAGGCTGTTTGCATATTTGTATATTTGCATTCCATTGATTCTCAAACGTTGATCTTTTAACTTCTTTTATTGTCGCAGGTTGCGGAAGCTAATAATTGTCAGTTTAAATGTGCGAATTATCCAAAACAAATTGATGATGTGCTTGAAGGTCATGTTTCACGAAAAAACGGTAATTTGCGTCTTCTTATGGAAACTCATGTTTTCGTTGGCGCTGAAACTTTCAAAGGTTTCGTTGGTTTAAGTTCCAAACTTGGAAGAGTATTATTTACCCGTAAATGTAAGCTTTTCACATTTATTTGCTACTTTTGTTAAAATTTACTAAGATTTACTAAGATTATTAAAATTAAGATTAATTAAGATAAGATTTATTAAGATTGACTTTTTATTAAGATTTATTTGCTCGATGATGAAAATAGGATTTATTTTTTCTATTTTGATTTATTTGGTACATTTATATCATCAATTAATAAATAAATTTCTTATAAATAAATCAAATATTAGCGAGAGACGAAAAAAATTTTGTTTTATATACTTCGATTTAAATGGAAGGAAAATCATCAATTAATGCTTCATAACGAAATTATAAAATGTGGAGTTAATACTTTTTATCATATAGTTAGCAATATTTATTAAAGTTTTATTAAAGTTTGACATCCTTTATGAGAAGAAAAAATCAATTGAATTTTTAAAATTTTACTTCAAAAAATTCAGTTGATATTTAAAATTTTATTTCAAAAAAACTGATATGATTAATATGGAGCATCTGCTGGCACCTTAATATATATTTATAATGTTATCTCATGGTTTTTTGAGGTCACGATTTCATCCTCTTCATTTTATAGCACTGGATCATTCTTCTAGTGCTATTCATTTCTAAAGAGTCAGTTATTTAATGGCCGTCGTTTATGTTGTTAATTTATATTATATAAAAATATAAATATAATTTTTCTTATTGTGGTGGTTATAGTCTAAATTTAATTAATCTAAATTTCATTGTAGTTGAATTACTCTTAATTGAAATATTTCATAGTATGATGTGACACATGGAATTTTATTATTGTTAGCTGTGAAAAGTTGGCTATTTTTTGACGAATTTTTATGTAGAATTAGGGATTAATATATTTCAGTTTGTGAAAAATTTAAATTAGTGTCGTTAACATGGAAGAAATGTGGAGTGAGCAGTATTGAGCCATCGCCAGAAAATCTTTATTGTTCATGGGAAGTAATTTCATGTATGAATGAAGATGACGACGACCCGAAATTAGAACTATCTATTCGCAAATGCAATGTCAGTCTGAATGCGTTTCATTTATTTCCGATGTTTTGAAAAGAATTATTTGATTCCTTTTTTTGGCGATATTAAGATAGAACCCATTGATACGATAAGATATTTAGAATATATTTAGAATATTTTTTTGTCAAGCTTTCAATTTCATTGTTATGGTAATTCAAAATTCCTCTATTATTTGCGAAAGGTTGTATAATGATAAAACGTGTCGTTGGGGCAAATAGAAAAGAAGTGTTTTTTGGAGAAAAGGGTAATTTCAATCAAAAATCAATCAAAAGTAGGTAAAGTTGATATAATGGATTAGAATTTGGTATCAGTTCAAAGGAACAAAAAAAGACAATATCATTTCTCTATCTAAATTTTTGTTAAAAGGCCAGTGAAGAAATATTGCGTAGTTCCTAAATGAAGGAAAAATTTTACAGGGAAAACTTTTCACTTTCCGCGGTCGTAATATTTGTATTCTACAGTTATTTAATCAACAGGGTTTTGTTACGGTGTATGCCACTGATTTTTCACATCCTATAAGAAGTGAAAAGCTTATTAAAGAAGCACAAAATATCGAGGTATGTTTTTTCTGCTTAAACGATAATAAAAATTGAGGCCATTAAATTATATTACTAACTTTAATTCTTTAGATCATTCTGTGAATTCTTTATTTAATTAACTGCAAATATCGGAACATTGTCTTCTAAATTTTCAGATAGAAAGGAATAAGGAAAAATTATAGAATGGAAATATCCAATTAAAATAGAGTAATTCTCTACAATTCACTTGAATTTCCAGAATGCGAAGGATTGTAGTATGGTATATGCCTTATAGCAGATTTCCCATTTTTTCTATGTTAGCTAAATAGTATTAGATGAATCCGTTCAGTAGCACATCGGACCCCTCAAACTTGCTAATTAAACTTTTAGTTAAGTAAGTGAAATGAATTACAAAACTCGAGAAAATTGTTTCGCTATAAGAATAAATTAAATTTTACAAACTGAAAAATTATAAAATTTTTTTGCGATAGAAATTTAAGAAAAATTTTAAAAATTTAAAAAACTATATTTATTGTTGGATTCCGGTCAACATAAACTCCAACTATACATTTGTTTGGTGATCTTCACGACTTCACTAAAGAAATTATTAATTTTAAAAAGCTGTGATTCGTGAATTAATTTTTTTATGATGATCATTATCAAAGTAAAGTAAGGGAGTTGACCTACCTTTCTTTGGCATTTCATAATTTTGAACAATTAAAAATAATTTCTATCTCTCGGCTGTATATAGTAATATAGTAATAACGACAGTGAAATCTTTTTGATTTAGGAAACGGTAGAAATCGATGGTTTATGGCAGATTAGCTTAATGCCAATTTTTTATTCTTGTAACTGTCGGCCTTAGAAACTTTAGGTGGCTAAATAGAATTGTCGGATCGAGAGACTTGGAAACGGCCCTTTGTAGCTCAATAGCCTAAAAAAAAGAAATGGCTATATTAAGAAGATGGAATTACTTCCTTATAATTAAAATTTTATTGCTATAAAAAATCCAAAATTTATTGTTTTTAGGTCTATACCAGCACATTACCCGAAGGATTACCTCATTTTCCCATTCATGTTTGTTACGCTCGTATTTTGGATGAAGCTTATATCTCAGACGTTGTAAAAGATATCCACAAGTCAATAATGAATAATCCTGGTGATATTGTACGAAAAAAGGAAAAGTTAGTTGATTTAGCAGAAACCACTGCATCTACAAGTACCTACAATAATAATGAGGTTATATTTTTAAATACCTTTAAAAACTTTTGATAAACGTTCAGTTTTCACGCTTGTTTCTTATTTCAGATTTTATGCCTAATTTCTTAGGTATTAGGCAATATACCCAAATAAATTTTTCATTAATATTGAATTAACTTGCCGTGAGAAAATTTCACTTCTTTGTTCTAAATGTTTCTTTTTCTCTCAATTCGTCATTTACTGAATTTTTTTATTATTTTCTTTTAGATATGTAAACCATTTTGTGAGACATTGCCATTGATCGAAGAAATATTGTCACAGCCATCAACAGCGAAGTTTATTCAAAAAATTGATCCGAAATTATATAGTGATTTATGCTTATTTACTGCAAAATATGGTTAAATATATTTTTCAACTTAGTTGATTTAATTGAGGATATTATTAATTGTTGGTGTTAATTTCCATCTATTTTCATCTATTTCATTCGACAAACATAAATGTGGGGCACTGTGGGTTTTTGTCAAAAGATTTAAATAGTGAAAAATAAAAATTATTCTTATCCAATAGAAATTTGTATTATATAGAATATAAGGCAGTTAGAATTAGAATTTTAAGTTTGCTTTGTGTATTGGCTTACCTTTACTTTTATTTTATGTTGTATAAAAAAAAACTCTTATTTTTATTTTGGTTTTTTTTGTCGGATATGAAGCTTATTTCAAGCCAAACACTCTATCTGATTATTTAAATATTATGGAATTAAATTAAAATCATAATGAATTTCTGAATTATATTTCTTCGTCATAAAACTTTTAAGCTGTAGATAATGGCGAATGATTCTAAATTTTTTATTTTCTTTATTTTTTAGTTGGCAAATTTTCAACGATAAAAAACTATTAGATGCTAAGAATATTAAATTGCTAAAAGATTCAGATTATTTACAGTTGGAATATATATTGTACGATGTCTGATGATTACTCTACGCAATTGAAAAAAGTAGGTTTTTTTCGAAATTTTTAGATAAATTTTTCCTTTAAAAAGATTTTTCTTTAAAACATTTTTAGGATATTTTAAAATTTAAACTTATTATTTATCTAGTCAAGTTTTGAATTTTTAGGCATTTCAAGATTTGCAACTCAAAATGATTGAAACAAACAAACGTTTACAACATGGTGAAATGCAAAGGAAGCTACAGGAACAGGCATGTTTTAAACACTTTAAAGTAATTTGGAATAGTATAATAGTTCCGGATAATTATGCCAATTCACATTTTGAAGTTGATATTATGGAAAAATCTCTTTGGGACCAGTTAAAATTTCTAATTACTCATCCATGTTTGAAAATGTGAATCGGGTTTTTTAGTTTTTATTTCAATTCAATAAATTTTTCCAAATATCTATTGAGAATATTATTTGTTTCAAATATAAATCATTTGCTATTAGAAGGAACGCATTGCTCAATTAACGAAAATGCAATTGTCGGAATTGGAATCAGAACGCCCAGTATTTAGAAGTATTGGGCGTATGTTTGTCCGTGAGAGCATAAAGGATGAAATCGCAAGATCAGATAGGGAAGTAGGTTTTTTAAAACGACTTATAATTAATTCTTTGTGAATTAATTCTTTGCCCATCAACGATTTGCTGAATTCAGTTGATAAATCTAATTTAATATGAAGAGTTTGCACGTCTCTATATCTTTATTTAATATAATTGAATCATTGAACTTTATGAACTTCTTTTAGATTGCTTCAGCGAAGGAAAAAATTGCTACAATTGATCGCCAAAAGGAATATTTGGAAAATAATTTAGCAGAAGCAGAAGGAAATTTGAGAGAAATGGTCCAAGCGAGACCATGATGTTTAATTAATCATTGTGATAAATATTTCAATCTACTTGATTCGTTGTGAAAATCAATTCTTTGAATCGATTTTTGCTACAGAAAAAATATTCTTGTACTGTTTACGATAAATTCGAAATTCAGATCCAGGAAAGAATTCATATGGTTTAGTGGAGTTGGGATTGGTTCCTATCGCGATAATATTTTAATTTCATTTTTCTTGTCACTGTTTCCTGTTAGATGGGACTTTAGATGACTATGGTGTAGTAATTAATGGTGAAAACTTTAAGAACATGAAATCCAGCTGGAAAGTAGCCGATAAAGTTATAAATTATAAATTAAGTTATAAATTTTCTGTAATATTTCGATGTTTTCATAAATTTTTGCTGATTTTGCTGATTAAAAATTATAAATCTATTTTTTTGCATTTTTGCGATTGGTTTTTACTTCATTTTTCATACTTTTTAATTACGAATTTTCTTCATTTTTTTCATTAGCTTTCGAATTTTCAAATTTACCTTAGTTATAACCATTCGTTTATGTGACTAATTTTGGTCAGTGCGGATTAATTATCCACGAATCTTTTGCGTGAAGATGATTATTCCAATACGCTGTTTTACATGCGGTAAGGTTATTGGTAATAAATGGGATTCATATCTTGGATTATTGCAAGCTGAATATACTGAAGGTTTTTTTTCATTTTATTCTTCATTTTATTTTTTTCCTGAACAAATTTTTTGATTTTCTAAAAGGTTTTTTCATAATGTTATTGTTAAGAGAAATCGATTTAAAAAAAAAGAGAAACAATTAAAGAAATCGGTTCCATTAGAAATTCATTATAGGTGATGCCCTAGATGCTCTAAATTTGCGACGCTATTGCTGCCGTCGAATGTTGCTGTCACATGTCGATCTTATCGAAAAATTACTGAACTATCATCCACTGGAAAAATGATTGATTCCTTTCGTTCATTGAGAAATTACTGGAAAATATTTGCTTTTCTATTATTGCTCTAATCACTATGTGACAATTGCATTTAAAGTGCTTTTTAAATACTTTTAATTTTCGATTTCACCTAATTTCTGTTTTAATTCTCAGTAGACTTCTTAATTTTTCTTTCATTTCCTAATTTTCGATTAATTTCGAAATTTCCTCCATTTTTTTAATTTCCGAAATTTTAGTATTTTTTGGTAATTTTTTGAAAGAAAAATGAACGTATTTTGCTTCTTTTTTTGATGCACCGCACTTTAGTTAGTTAACGAAAAGCAAATTCGAATGCGCAATCTTCCCAGTGATCTTTAAAATATACGCAACAAATAAAAGCATAGAATGCAAGCAATTTTATTACAAAAACGCGACCAAAATGCCGCGATGTGGTGAAAAATTCGTAGAATGATGGATTAATTGGTAAAATTTTGTCGGATTAGAAAGAATTTTAGTAAAATAAATTACCTTTTTTTAAGAGCCTTCACCATTATAATTAGGCTTATTTCGCTGGCTTTCCGTTAAGGCAAACATGCCAAGGGATTCGATGCCTTAGCAATAGAAGCATAGTTGAGTCACCAGTATCACCCGGACCTTTGACAAGTTTATTCCCGTTGGGAGTAGAATCCATCCGGCATCGGCGCTTCGAATTGAACAACAACCCCCTCTTATACTTCCTAGGCCTTGCATTATTGATTAAATAAACCGCTTAGAGGCCATTTAGAATACTTATTTTCTGCCTTATCCGATTATCTCGAAGTGGTGCAATCAACCACTTTTATTTTCATTTATTTAAATATTTGTCCTGTTCTAGGAACTTTTTAGCATTGCATAATAATATATTCCATAAGCTGATCACATTTTTTTTATTATTTGCTGGTTAGCAGTTACTATTTTTGGTTCGGTTCACTCCACTGGATATTAGGATGAGAGAGTTTGGGGAGGGGGTTGCTGTAGAAATATAAATCGTTAGCACCACGTGGGTTTTTAATGAATGCTTATTTCCTAGAAATTCCTAGAAAAAGAAATATACTGCTTGAAGTTTTGTATAGTTGAAAATTTATAAAATTTGCAATTTGATGGAAGGATCCAATGGATCGCGAATCATAGATCAACGATATATAAATTTGCGAACGTCAGCTGGTTTATGTTTTATAAAAATGCCAACAATCCGATCTCGTCAATTTGAAAATCAGAATTTGCAAAGAATAATTCCCACTAAATATCATTTTTATCATTGCAAATTTTCATTTTTCATTTCATTTTTAAGTATTCATTTTCATATTCGTTCATTTTTTTATATTCATTCATTTTTTCATATTCATAAAAAAATATTCATTTTTTTTCAATTTCAAAATGAATTCTAATAATTTTTAAAATTATTTTTACCAAAACCAAAACCGATTAATTTCGATTTTTATTGAAAAATATTTTTTCAATTTTTTTTCAAGTTGAAGGTTTTTGATTTGCATTCTTCGTATTTCTTTTTTAGATAACTCAAGCGAATTTTAAAGAAATATGCATTTAAAATATAAATATTTGATTGTTTATTTATAATGCATAAATTATGCGAGATCGGGAATAGAATGGCTCAGCGAGTTGTTGCCAAATTTGGAGCGCCGGTGCTGAGGTTCGACTCCCCGCAGGAGTAAACCTGTCCAAAACAGAGTTTGATGATGATGACGATTCACTTTTATCGCCAAGGGACTCCCTGATATATTTATGACAAATGCGACAAGCCAGCGGAGCGAGTTTAACCAGTAATAATGGTGAGGACTCTTAAAAAAAAAATTATGCGAGATGGAACAGCGAAATGGTTATTGCTTCCGGTCTTTGTCTTAGTAACTAAAGACCATCTAGCCTCCTATCATTAAAAGGATTGCTACTAGATTCCTACATTTCTGTCTCTGTCTTTAAATGATAAAAAGTCCTTATCATTATAGTAGGTCGAGATAGATATGATAAGCGCTAACTTCTACTTTATTTATTTTAGTTATTAATATATTATTAATATATTATATTATATATTATATATTAAACTATTTATTAAATATATCAAATAAAATCGCTCATAAATTATTATAAATTGTTGATAAATTATTCTTGAATACTGAAATATTTGCGTAATTTTGTTTTAGATGATTTTTATTCAAAGCTAAATGGTACTAATTTTATATTTCTATATAAATTTAAAATTAATTAATATTATATTAATTAAAATTAATTAAAATTATTTGAAATTATTTTTTTCGAAATAACAAATAGAGAAAAGAGAAATGAAATCATTGAAAAAAACAATCCTTTAACAGATTTCGTAATTTAAGAATTATTTTCCCAATTTTCAATAAAAATTCGCTTAAAAATATTTTAATAATTTATTTTAAATCAATAATTTTGTTTATTATTCAGCTTTTTTTTTACATAAAATTTTCAATAATTTTCATAAAAATTATTATTTATTCATATTAAATTATAGTTGAATGCGTGTATGTTCTTAATCGCCATAATTTCTTCTATTTTAACTCTTTTCTTCTGGTCATTTATAACGATCATTATAAGTTCGATTCGAGTATCGCGATGACCATTAAACCTGTTATTAAAAGGGGTGTGGGGACAGTTAAGCGCTGCCCGCCATTCTCGAGATATTCTTTAACGAAGCAATGACATCTAACACCTAATAGTTATTGGAATCAACTTTAAACGAGGAGCTTTGGGAAATTTTCTTCGATATGCATTTGGTACTCTTTTACGAAAAAAATGATCATCCTAAAAATAAAATAAAAAATAATCGTCGTTCAAATACCACTTGCATAAATAATGTTATCACAGAGCGTCGCCTTCGCTGGTTAGGGCACATTCTCCGTCGTCCACCACATAAGTTGACGTATATTTCGTTATTTGCTGAACCGTGTAATGAATGGCAAGCGAGGTGGGCCAATCAAGACCTGGACCGATACGGTTAGGAAAGATTTTGAACGTATAGATGGGCCAGCAATATATGGGCTTAGACGATGGAAAAAGGAATGGCTTCTATTATTCTTGACGATGAAATCAGACCGCATCGCTTGGAAGCGTCTTACCCTTGTAGCCGTTGGAGCGAGCCTAATTAGCAATGGTGAGAGCTGTTAGAAGGAGAAGAGTACCGATTCTTTTTTTGTGAATAAATGTTTTTTTTATTTCTTTACGACGAATGAAAGATGCGATAATCGAAATTTTGGCAAATAGGGCAAAAGAATTTGTTGGTAACAAATCTTACCAACTTCTATCTCCGTTTTTCATGTTTCTTTCCACTGAATAACAATTTCCTTAATTGTTCTTCTCTTCTCCTCCTAACAGCCCGTTTAACTGGCTCCACTGGCGATTAGAATAAGGCATTTCCAAGTCTATCGATCCAATGCCATGCCTGAAGGGAAGTTATTCTTTTTTCCAATTTTTAAAGCCACATATCGCTAAGCTATCTAGGAATGCACTGATGAACGATCCTTTTTTAGCAAATATAATTTTTTAATAATTCCAGATTATAATTCTAAATTCTAATTATAATTGATATGGAACTTAGGTGATAAACTTAGCTAACTTGGGTAGAATTTAGGAGTTTTTTTAAAAATTTTTTATGTTATATTTATTTATTTTATATTTTAAATATTTTAAATATAATCACACATAATGGTTAGTTGAGAGATATTTTAAAATATTTTTCAATAGATCGCATCCGTATATCTCAAGTTTCATAAATATTTGAACTGTCCATTTCAAAATTTTCAATATTTGTCTGCTGAAATATTTGGTTGAGTTGATCGAGTAGATTATCACAACGAATGTCAATCAGTTGAAAAAATGATAACTTTATTACATGTGGTGGTGATTAGCAATAAGATAATAGTTGTTTTTGAGTTAATGCGTTGATTTTTTGCCCAAGGAATATATGACGGATGGAAATAGACCAGCAGTGCCACTCGGAATACTTTTAATAAAACATATAAATATTTTCTAGCCAATCACATTTATTAAACTTGAAGTTGAAAACACTAAAATTATTGATAATTAGTGATAATTTTAGTGAATAATTAATGATAACTGAGGACCGATCTGGCTAAAAAACTCCATCGCATAAGTTAAATTAAATATCAACTGAAATAAAATAAATGTAAATAAGAATGTTCGATTTTTTTCAGCTAATTTAAGATTATTCAAAATTTCTTCTAGATTTCCTTGATAAAAAGATGTTATCATTAATATTGATATTTCCACTGTTGCGGCAAGGAATTATTCCACAATTCTCTACTATTTTTACAATCTTTTCTGCCGAAAATTTTACTATTTACAAAAAATAATAGCAAATTTTCCAATAAAACAGGCAGGACAGAGCTGATTACTCAAATGAACCTGTTGAGAGTAGTTTTTCGGGTAGTTATCATAATAAAGTTGCCATTAACAAATATGAATGATACTCCTAACTCCTATGAATGATAATAATATTTTTCGCCAAGTTTCCTTTAACCATTCCTTTTCGGCTAGCGGAACGACGGTAGGCGAATCATTTCTGCTTACATGTACCACTTTTTTTATAGTTATTCACTTTTCTTAACTCTTTAAAAATTAAAAATTAATTATAATAAAATCTCTTTAAAAATAAATTATAATATAATTATAATTAAAAACTTCTAAAATAAATTAGTTTAAACAATATTAAATAGCGAAAAAAAAAGAAAAAACTCGATTCTTATTTTAAATGATTGATTTTGAGCGTTCATTTTATTGAAATATTTTGATTCGCTTTCGGCATTACAAATTGAAAATCAAGAAATTTAAAGGACAACTCGCACGAACTGTTAATTTTATTAATTTTCTTCGATTATTAATTTGTATTAATTTAATTTCATTCGATTAAAATAGATTAACGGATTTGTTTCGCCTTAAGCACTTAATTTTCTAACTGTCAACAGTCAATTAAAAGCGCGAATAGAATG